CAACAGCACTAACCCTGGGAATGCCCAAGCTCTCTGTATCTCCTTTCTGTCCATTTCCTTTAGTGCCGAATTCCCAAATGCCCCAACTCAGCCCCCAGTGCTCCTGCCAGCCTTAGTAGTCATGTGTGGGATAGCTGCAGCAACACTGCCTATCTCATTCCTGGCCAAGCCTGGCTGTTGAATTATTTGCAAATCACCTCTAGCATTAGGAAATTTTTTTTAAATTGTTTTTTGATGTGAAATCTCTTCTGCCAGGAAAGTGGTGACACAGCTGGATGCATGTCCAACAGCATGGAAAGGCGCTTGATGAAAGCCATGGGACTGTGCGGTGAGTCACAACAAGAGAAAACATTGTTTCAGCATATAGTTTCATTATTTACCCTGCAAGGAGTGCCATTTGTACAGCAGCTATTTCGTGTTAGCACTCTGTGGTGTGAATTGGCTGGATTGGTAGTGATGCACTGTCATGCCTTGGTGGATTGCTTTCCTCTTTGGAAAACATAGCATCCAGGCCCTTATCTTTCTCCTTGGCTGGACTAAATGGTTGATGCAGACATGGCACAGTAGATGTTTCCCAGCCTGTTCTGTGTAAGATTTTTTCTTTTGCTGTTTCCACAAACAAGAAAACACAGGTCTTGGCCAAAGGCCCGGGGTAAAATTTCCGTTTTCACTTTGTTGAGCAGCACACATTAAATTCCCATTAGAAAAGTTAACACATGTATTTTGAAATTTACTTCAATATGGAAATAACTGAAGATCCTGTCTGAATCTCTGGATTATTGTGGAAACACAATAACCAGACTACAACCAGTCTGGGTACTTGGTATTTTACCCCTAATGTGAATGTGCACGTAACTGCATGTGTATATGTTTAGATTTTTATGTTTGATTTATTTTCTAATGGTGATCAGCTTTCCATGAGCTTTTTGAGAGTGATAATGAGGATTCATGATGCAGTAGCAAAACATCCTTTTTCAGCAGCTCAGCATTTTATTGGATGGTTCAAAGCAATGTGGCTTCAAGAGCAGAGGTGCTGCTCTGGTATTAGGGTACTGCAACATTCCCAAAATAGAGGACTAAAATCCTCTTGGAGAAATGCAGAGTATTCCCTGCCTATAGAGATAAATAAAGTTCACCAGAGAAAATTATTCCAAGGTCTGAAACCTCAAGCTACTGGGCACTTTTTGGCTGACAGCTCAGTTTTGGAGGAGTGACAAGCTGCTGCAGAAATGCAAGTGGGATGGTGCTGGTAAAAATGTAATTAACTGCACTAAGGAAGGAAAGGCATGAAGTGTCCAGAGCTTTGAACATATCCTGGAGCTCCCAGAGCCAAACCTGGAAGGCACAGCACAAATGTGCTCTGGTAGGGCCCCAGGTATGTCACTGCCACAGGTGAGGACATGAGGGCAGTGCTGCCCAGAGCTCTGATGTGCTGTGAGTCCTGGATGCCGTAAGCAGCTCCCCTCCCTTCCCACGTGGGACATCTCTCACGGCAAATCTTTATTTCCAAATCAATGGTAAAATCCCCATTACTGACATGCTCACTTTGCAGCTCCAAAATCATCTAATTACACTGCTGAACGGGTGCTTCCAAATATTCAAAATACAAAGGCTGTGAGGGTTTTTTTTGGTGCTAGCAGAAGGTGTGAGAGCACTACACAGTCCCTCCTGGAACATGTGAAACAATCCAGCTGCCATCCTCTGTTCCACTTGCTGTCTCTGGATTGTGCTGTGGATGTCAAAGCTAAAGGATGCTGCCGCTGTGCCACAGCTGACCTCTGGAGGGAGGCTGTGCACCGCAAGGACTCTGGGGCTGGATGGCACTGGAGTCCTTCAGACATCGGGAGAGTTGGGCTGGTGACAGCCTGACTTCAGCTGCAAGGTGTGCTTGAGGACTGCCTGCTTTTTACTGAAGCCTTTTTATTGTGGAAGTAATTATCACTGCTCTTCATCTCTCTGGATTCTGATGCTACAGCAAGAAAATCTGCTGTGTGGTGCATTCCACCCAAAATCTCCTTATTCAGTCCTGGCAGCTTGGGAGAATGACACAAATTCACACATTTGGCTAATTCTGAAGGTCATCTTGGAAGCTGTTGTGAGGGCATTGCTCCAACTGTGCCCTCTCAAGGGAGGGAAAGTCTCCTCCTTGAGAAAATCTTTGTTTCATGCAGCAGCACAGCCTCCTGAGAACTGTGCTGGCAGGTACAACCCAGCTCCTCCTCCTATATTTCCTGGGATCTGTTCTGTTCCTGGTTTTGATGCTGCTGTATGAAGCTGTTGGTATCATTCAGATCAATGTGCAACTTACTAAACTGGTTTAGCTTTTTTTACTCTTCTTTATACTCTAATTGCTTAATGTCAAAACCAACACTGATTCTTTCTACCAATTAATATGCACTCCTAGGAATAGGCCTTTTCATCAAGGACAAAATCCATGAAATAACCGTTCGGCCCCTGATATTGTGTCCTTGCAGAAGAGACTTGGGAAGAAAGCTGAGTCTCTTTTGGCATGGTTGTTTTCAAGGGAAAAAAAAAATCCTAAATTGTCAGCAGGGCTTATAAAGACAAATAGTGATAAAAGCTGAAGTGTTTTGCCAAGAAGTTCTCTGTTGAATGCAGCTGAGATGAATGCTACATAGAAAAACAGTCTCAGGAGAGGGTCTGCAGCAGATTTGCTGGGTTTTGGGAGAGGGGTATTTCAGATATAAGAGTAATGTCAACAGAGGTTTGGTTGTGGGGTTTTGGGAGGTTTTGTTTTTGTTATCTTTGTCACCTAATTTTTTTCCTAAAACTGTTTCTTTTTTGGATGTTGTAAATACAGACTTCTTATATGCCCCTGCACTTCAACTTGACTTGATGTAAAGGTGATTTCAGAGTTACTGAGGAAGAGGGAGGCCCTCCTCAGTCAGGGATGTGGCAAAGTAGAAAGGGATGGTGGGGCAGTCCAGCAACTCTGCACTCCCAGCATGTGCTTCCCAGGTACCATATAGGCCAGGATGAGGGCTGGGATCCCTAGAGTCAGGATGGCTTTCCAGTGCCACAGAGCAGGACAGGAGTTCACTGAAGAGCTGCCAGCTCTGGGGGTCCTCAGAGTTCATCACTGACTTGGTTAGCAAGGTTTTGTCACTAAAACCTTCTGTTACTGATCCTGCAGCTTCTGTGCCCTATGGCACCTGTGGAGGAGAGAATGCTGTGCCCCTTCCTTCACCATTTCCTATGAGGGTCTCTTTTCTACTACACCCAGGGATTCTGAAATTTTTTCTGCTACTTTTCATGTTTACTTGTCCAACACTGTGCCTTGGAACACACAGAACTCAGTGGGAGGACTCCAGATGACTTCCGTGGGATGTTCTGTTAATAACAAGCTCTGACTCTTTATTAGTTCTTCATCTGCAGATCATAATGTTAAAAAGCTGAGGGGAAGGAATAAAGATGATCATTTTGTAGCTGGTTGTCAGCTAGCTTCCAGGCCAATGGTTAGATGGCAACGAAAATACAAACTGCCTTATTTGTCCCATCAGTTCTCATCCTGTCATTGTATCCTGTTTAAAATCCTATGCACTGCAAGTTCTCAGTTTTCAAGGTGAAGGAATAAATGTCCTGGAGTCTTTCTCATCTTATGTTACATGAGGCTACTGAAATATTGATCACATGCTTCACCCCATACCCAGCAAATAAAGAATTTCCAGTTGGAAGTTATTTTGTGTCTGTGAGGCAGATCTGGTGGTGCTGGCTCTCAGCAACTTAGTGCAGTAGCTTTTAGAAATGCAAATAGAAGGGAGACAGTGTAATGGAAAGTGACGTTGGTTTGGGGGCAGGGATCAGCACATGTACCCTGGGCCTGATGGAGAAACATCTGGGCTTCAAAGCTGCTTGTGGAGTCCAGTGCTGCTTACTGTGAGCAAGGGTAATCTGCACAAAGAACAGCTAAGAGCATGAAAGCAATGCTTCCAAAGCAATGCAGGGCTGCTGAAATCCCTGAGGTCAAGCAGGGGGAATTCCTATAGAAGAAATTGATTGGTTCTGTTGGAATAAGCCTCATTCCTGTTCCCTTGCTTGGCCTTGCTCAGTTGTGGTTAAATGAGGAGAGGGATGATAATTATCTGATTATCCTGCTATTGACAGTCTGTGGAACAGTTGGGAGCCCAGGCTTGTCCTCTTGCCACTGCCAGCTCCAGGGATGGGTTCAGCATTTGGAAAGAGAAATAACATGTTCCACAATCTCCAACAGGTGCAGTGGCTGTTCCACTGCTGAGTGTACCAGTAGAGAGCCTGGAATTGTCACTCTGTTGGCTCATCTCACCTATGCTCCTAACTCACATCTCCCAAATTACCCACCAGAAAGCATAAATTTTCTCAGTGATTAATTACATATGTTAGGAAAGACTTCCCAGGTATAGGGTACAATTTCTGCTTCAGATGAAAAAGTTAACTATGTCAACTTAGAGCAGAGTCTTTGATTTGATGTGGGTAACCTAGCACAGGGAAAAGCAATGCTCAGTGCTGCTGCCCTGTATCTATCACTGACACCACAGCTGATCCCAGCTCTTCTGGGATCTTTTGGTCTCAGAGTTCTTGGATTTTGTGCCATACCATAACCAAGTCAAATTTAAAATTGTATGTGTAAACCAATCTTTTCCACGACAATTAGTGGGAGAGTGTTAATGTCCATGATCAATTACTCTCATAGATAAACGTTACTAATGTTTCCCTTTCATGTTAGTAGGTATTCTTTTCTTTTCACTACACTTCACAACACGTTGCTTAATCCAGACATTAGATAAAAGAGAAGAGTTTATTTAGAATTAAATACTAATTTATAAATGGAATATGTAACTTGTTTTCCAAACTCTGTGATATATTGGCTTTGTTACAGATTTATCCAGAACACCTGAAAAAGGACTGTAGTTAGCCAAGACAATGTTTTCATATTACAACTTTATTATTCATAGAATCATAGAATGGTTTGGGTTGGAAAGGACCTTAAAGATCATCAAATTCCAGCCCCCCTGTTGTGGGCAGGGACACCTTTCCCTAAACCAGGTTGCTCAGAGCTTCAAGACTTCCTAACTTGCTACAGCCATTTAACTCCATTCAAAGTATTTCAAGGTCCAATGCTCATTTCTGTGACTTTTCCATTAACCTCTTCCTATCACCCCTACATAACTGGCTACTCAGGTTTCTGCAGCTAAGGGCTTTTCATCTCTGCTGCAATGATTTCAGGTCATACAGCTGCCCTGCAGCACATGCTCCATTTTGTCTGCATGATGTCTGTAACACAATAACCTGCTATCACTTTAGAAAAAGATGTATTAAATTTTCCAGGCAATAACTAAAGCAGCTTAAGTAAATGGGGTTTTTCCACACGGGAGAGATAAAGTTACTTAAATTATTTCATTTTACACAAGGTGCTGTATGTTCTCCCTAGCAATCAGTGACAGCTCTGACTAGGAATGCTCTCCAAAGTTTGTATTGGTTACACATGGGGGCATTAAAGTCAGCTCTTTCACATTTTATAAACTGCCTCACCTGAGTCAGTGAATAGCACCACTGTAGGCTATGCAAGTTTTACTTTGCTCAGAGCATAAGACAGAACAGAATCCATCACAACAGTCGGGAACAAAGCACACACAAACACCAGGGCCTTCTCCTTCAGCTTTGCCACCATGTAACGTGCCTTGGGTGCAGGAGATGTCAGAGCATCCACCATAGCATCTACAACCTCACTGCCATTAGTACTGCCCTCACTGAGGATGCTGTTGAAAAAGTTTGCTCGCTCTTGAACGTACTCCTTGTTGTAAACAGCCTTTTCCTCTTCACTCAGTTCACTCCAGATCTCTTCGGCACTGAGTGGTGGCTGAATTTTTGTAGAGCGTGCATAATTTCCTGGCTGGATAATACAGACCTGAAAGCAAAATGTGTAAAACTTACCAAGGTGCAATCAGTCATTGTGAATTCAATTAAATGCTCTAGTCAGTAACACAGATCAAAAGCCCTCTACAGACATCCTGAAAATGCTGCTTTGTTGAAATTTTAACCCTGGAAACTTGACTGAAATCAAATATATTCCCGTGAAATATTTAAGATTGCAGAGGTGCTTTATTCTGACTTCCTCATTTCACTCTTATGTTAATGTTCTTGTTTTGACTACTCAGCACACCCTCACAGAATGCAATGGAACATCTTTGATTGCTGTAGAATGCTTAACAGTATAAATGTTTTGACAATATGGAGACAAAGCATTTCAGTATAACTTTGATTGGAGAACCTTGCAATTGGTAATTTTTGGACCCAATCTGGGACAAAAGATTATCAGGTCCTGGGGAAAGAACTGCTGTTTTCCTCAAGTACATGTAATTAAGAGTAAACTAGGTCTTGCCAGGGAATTACAGGGGGCCAAAAGTCTGCCTCTCACTGAAGCCATTAGCAAATTTCTGTAGATACGTGCACATAGATTTACATGAAAAGCACACAAGTCCTTTGTTGCTCCACGTTTTCTTTGTGTGTTGCTGCTGTTCTTCTCCCTTCTGAGTATTCCAGGGAGTTCTGGAGCAGGCTAAGCACTCACAGCACACATGCTGATCCTCAGTTAGCAGCAGCCTTGTTCCAAATATTTGTAGATATACAACATTAAAAGCTCTGTGGCATTTAACTGACCTGATTTCTAAAGACTGTAACACAAGGTGAGGAAAACCCATGCTGAGCTGTGTCAGAGACTCAGCGATCTGACAGGCATTCTCTGGCAAGTCTGTGTTGATATAAAACCCTGATGTCCTCACTCAGCCACCCAGCCCACCTGTGTCAGTGCCTGCCTGTTGGCCTGCATGGATTCACTGCTCTCAGCACTGGGGTCCAGGTCCTATGCACAGGGAGAAGGAAGGGATGCAGACAAACTCCAGCAGAGGGATGGTGGCACAGCTGGAACAGCTTCGTGTGCCTCAAGCAGCTTTGTCACACAGCATCCTCCTTCAGGTGCTATTTAGAGAAGTGTTTGGTATCAGCCAAACTAACACCAATAGTAATCTTCCCACATTTATTGTCAACAAAGGGGTTCTGAAAGCTTCCTTTTTTACAGTTGTCTTGGAGAGAAGGAGAGATGGTTTGGTTTTTGCCCTTCCCACATCTTCTGTAGCCTTTCTACTGGAAGACACACACTTTGTTTCCTGTAGGCTGTCAGCTTGCCTGGCCAGAGCTCAGTGGGACAGAGTCATAGCTCCATCTGCTCCTTGCCACTTCTGTGCAGCTTTCTCCTGACAGGACAGAAAGGACACCAGAGCAGTGCAAGGGAGCACAGGAAAAAGGAACCATGTCTTTTGTAGGCCCTCCACAGAGTAGGTTCTCAGGCAAATGCCAGCCAGAAAAATACCTCTCAAAGATACTCCAGAAATGTTTGCCAGCCTGGCTCACTCAATTATGTGCTGGGACTACTGCAGAGGTGGAACAGGAAAAATCCCAAAACAACCAGAGTAGCTAACCTGTTAAACTAAGCCCTTCCATGCATTTGAGATTATCCTCAGATAATCAGCAAAAATCCTCATCATGCTGTGTGGTATTAGGATGTAAAGTCACTTGCATTTTACAGCCCTTCATATTTATCAGACAGGGGTAGCTAATAGATGCATAGCAGTAATATTTTCCAACACAAAGCTCATGAACAATGCTGTAAATCTGTGTACATAAACAGTAGACCAGTGCAAACCTGCCAGGAAAGACCTTGAATGTTTGAGAAAAGTCATCCAGCAGTAGAGTGACTCCAAGGAAGAAGCCCAGTGAAGCTACTTAAGTGATCTAAGCTTCAGGTTTGACTATTAGAGTTGCTTAGGGCACTAAGAGCACTCTTAGAGCCTCTTAGGTTAAGAGAATAAAAACATAATTACTCTGCATAATGCTGCCTCTTGAAGCATAGCTGTTCTCACAAAAAGCAAGGAGTTGGTGTTTAAGGGAGAGAAATAAGCCCTCAGGCAAGTGACAAGCCTCCTTCTGGCTGCACAGCACTGTGTCTGGGCTCTTTGCAGCCACCCAGGGAACATCTGGGTTCCTCACTGCTGTTGGGAGCTCAGGCAGGCTGTTGCAGGAAGCTTCTCCACTGCAGAGGATGTGGAGAAAGGAAGGAAGTTTCAGTGCTGACATACAGACCTGTTACCAGCTTCTCAGAACCAAAACATCACCCAGGACTGCTGTTCACTGTGATTTCCAGCTAACTGATTAGCCACAGAGAAACCACCTCTTCCCAAAAGGAATCTGCACCCATGAAGGCAGTTCTGATCTTTTGTCTTTGTTGCTTTGTTTCACATAACTCATTCCATCACTTACCAGCTTTCCAGGTTCTTGTTACATCACTTACCTGGACACCAAACTTCTTCATTTCCAGTCTTAAAGCATCACAAAATTTTTCAATAGCTGCCTTGGTCATAGAATAAATGCCATTTCCCAGAGTAAAATAGGCAATGATGCTGGACATGAAAACAATACGTCCTAGAAAGAAAACAGTACAAATAACATAACTTCACTCTCAATTCATCTCAGTGTTCTGAGCTGCTAAGAATGTGGTGATTAACAGGAGGCTGTTTTACTGCACACTGTGCCAAAACTGGGCAGTGTCAGTGTGCAGTCCCAGCACAGAAGAGCACTCAGCTCTCTTAAGCAGAAAACTTCACATAAACATCTTCCACCTAGTGACAGATGTTGGACGAGACAAAGTGTAACACATTCCCAGTGTGCTGCTTATTCCTTCTGAGCCTGAGATAGGATGAAAAAGATGGAAACAAAGCAGTGTCCTAAAGACTGAAAAACAATAGTAAGAGACTGTGCTAGTAAAAGGAGAAGGACTGCAGAGGAAAGCAGATGTGATTTTCCCTGTGGTGGGTATATGGTTACTAATATCAGTTTTCTCTGTGCTAATGATGTCTCTGCACTGAGACCTGGCTTTATAACTGTGCATATGAAGTCCAGGCCAGACTGTGCAGTGCTAAGCTTCACCGAGGAAATGTGACTTGCCAAATGTGTGCAGGTTTACAATACCTTACAATGATTTCCCTGATCTATGCTGCTTTCCCCTCCTTTCTAACTCCTGCCGAGTGCAGGCATGCCTTAAATAGCAGAGATTCCTCAACTGAGGCACTGGACTGTGGTTCATTTCCATTGTTTCCTTGTAAACTTCTGTCATATACTCCTACCATGGGGTAAGGAATGTCTGAGTGTGGATATACAAAGACCAGAGGTGAGGGAGAAGATGGCCTTGTCACTGACAATCCAGAGAACACAGCTGCACTCCTGTTGCTGCCACAGATGCAGATAACATCTGGGCCCCAGATCCCACCAAATGTAATAGGCTTGGGGGATATCAAAAGGTATCATGGGAATGCAGTGAAATATTTCATTTTGAATTAGGCTCCCTGCCTTCCTATACAGCATCCCAAATAAATCTTACATACAGTAAGAGGAAAATAACTACCAGCTTGCTGATCAAGAGGCTCTATCAGCTGGCCTGGCCAGCTGGAAAAGATATGGGGAAGTGTTGCTCCTCTCAGGGTAGGATGTTTAAGTCCTAGGCTGGAGGGCATAACCTCCTTTTATAAGTATTAATAATTGTATTAATGACTTTGAAGTGTTTCCTCCAATAGGTGCACATCCATGGCAGTAAGCCTTGGATAGGTTGACCTCTACCTTTGGCCTCCTTTGTCCAGTAGCTGAGTGGTCTGAGGCACACACCCAGGATTTGGGACACCTCATTTAACTTCTCTTTGTGCCTAAGGGAATTGAAACCCAGCCTCCCCAGAAGAATGCTCTCATGTCTGTAATTCAAGCTTTTCATTTGGACAGGTCACTTGCTGCCCCCAAACACATAAGCTTTAGCTGTCCTGGTTGTTTCTGCAAAGAAGGCAACAGGAAATCTTCCTGGGATTCTTCCTAGAGTGCCTTGGCCTCCTCTCCTGCATGAAGGTACTTGAAAATGGAGTGCAGGAGTTAATCAAGGAAACACTGACAGCCCTGAGAGAGACAAAAAAATATTCCTTTGAGCTAAGGTGTGTGTGCAGCCTTCCAGACCCAAACCTTCTAACTGTTTATGCATGTGCTTAATATCCCATGCACAATTAGTCCCTTTTGCTTCAAAGTAACCCTGTGCAATTCATGGGGCCAGAGAAATACCTCTGGTGGATCAGCTTCACAGAGTTTCAGCAGTAAGCAGGACATGACAGGGAAAAGAGATGTCTCCCTGTGGAATGGCCACATAACACACACTCACTGGGTACATACAATAGCACATTCTTCTACAAAAACACATCCAGCTCACAGTATTTAAAGATTTCCTTTTTCTTGTGTCACAATATCATCAGCCAAAGGCATCCAAGCAGAAAGAAGCAGAATAGCCCAAAAAAAGGGATGCTTTTATCTTACGAACAGTTTGTGTAGCAGTGACACCTGGGGTTTCCAGGTGAAACCTACCCCTTCCTGTGCTTGATGCTGCACACAGAGCACAAAGCCTCACCCTAAAGAGCCTACAGCCAGAACAGACAAGGAAGAGGGGAATCTTCTTCCTCAAGCACAGATGGAGACAGGAAACAAACTGCAAAGCACCCAAGCCATGCTGCCATGCTGCAGAGACCTATTGAACCATTCCTTCTCAGAAAGAAGGATAAAGCCCACATATAGGGAGGTTCATGCAAATGCATTTACCCCACTGGACACCCGTGCACCTCTACATACTTGAAGTTTCCTGCCCAAGGTCACAGAGGCTCCACAGAGCTGGAACTGGAAGCTGGATGTCTCTAGTTCACCTCTGTAGGGTCATTCCTCCTCTCCTAATTGCCAAACAGTAAAATTGTAAAGCCTAAATAATAAAATTAAGCAGTTTAATGGAGCTTTGTGTTTTCTGATTGCCAGTGTTTAAAAAGGCTTAATGATCTATGGTAAATATTCTTCCTTTCTTTTTTAAGTCAAACACTGAAATACTTTTTATAAATACTTTTTTTCTATGTAGTGCAAAGACAAACTCTTTAAGGATATTTTTTTCCCCTTATGACTTTACCCTCTTTTCAGGATCAAGTTGCTCTTTCAGGCCACACAGAAGGAGGCTGTCATTTCAGTTCAATGAAAGACAATTAAAGCCTCTTTTATAGATGCTACATTACCCTGATTATAGTAAGCTAATTATTCTACAACTCTAAATAACAGTGGATTAGCATTACCCTTGTATTTCCTTAGAAGGGGGAGAAATGCCAGAGTTGTCCTGATGCTCCCAAGGATATTCACATCTGCAAATTTTTCATATGTCTCCATAGGCAGCCACCCTGTCTCGCCAAATGTTGATATTCCTGCATTATTGACAAGGCCCCAGAAACCTATGGAAGAGAAATGACTCAGCAAGCATCTTTAACTGCAAAGCAACCACTGTTAGATAACAAAGCAACACCACTGATTCAGACCCTTGCAAGAAACTGAACAGCTGTATAACATTTTTGTCTTTTCTACTTTAAAGTGCAGGCATGTCTTGTTTAATTAAGGAAGGCCATAACCTGGACTAAACAGAATCATAGAATAGTTTGGGTTGGAAAAGCCCTAAAAGATCATGCAATTCTAGCCCCCCTCCCATGGTCATGGACACCTTTCCTGTAAGTCTCAGTGCTATTTAATAATCACTCACTCTGCAGTTGTCTTAAGATATTTATGAATAACATGATCTGGGAGCCTACATCTTACTGCCAATGTGGTGTACCCTGAAATGTAATTACTTTAATCCCACTGTGTGCTATGAGCAGCTTTGTGAAAATTATATTAAGCAGTCTAAAGGCTAAGGGGTACTATTTTCAAAGTGCCTGACTACTTTAACAAATTAACAAATCAAGCAAAGTCAGTGGCTACAGTATTTTTTAAATTTTGTACTTTTGAACAACTTTATTCCCCATGCAATGACAGATTTCGGTGCTAAGGAGCCCACCCCCTGACACAAAGATTTCAGTGTTTACAAGCAGAAACACATTGGCAGCAAAGCTCGTTCTGACAGAGCTCAGTGACAGGAAGCTGAAGCCCTTCAGCTGAAAGCCACAGCAGGTTTCCTGTGAGCCCTGTGCAGTGCTAACAGCCTCAGCTGTGGGAATGCTGTGTGTTGGAGTGGGGAGTGCTCACAGGCTGGAGCTGACACGCTGCCTAAGGGCTGATTAAGCCCCGCTGACTTGTTCTTGCCTGTACAGCAAAGCAGGGAGTGACACAGTGCTTTTGAAAACATTTCTGTTCCTGTCCTTCACTCCTGACTGACAGCATTTCGAGAGTGGCCAGCAGCGTAACTAAGGAATACCAGGGCAGCCTGACTGGCACTGAAACAGCTGAATTTGCAGCTTAGTTCTGCCAGCCTTGACAAAGAATCTTTGTAGGTGTCCAAGGCAAATAATTGTTTTGTCATGCCTTCTACAGGATCTCCAAGCCTGGGCTTCTGGGGAGGCAGAGCAGATTTTAGTGCCTCTCTTCCTCTGGACACATGAGTTTGGGGCAGGGGTGATGCTGGCCCAGCTGTAGCCTCCTGTACCTGTGGCAGCAGAGTTATTCTCAGGGGACTCTTGATCACCTTAGTCAAGGCATTGTAGAAACCTTTGGGCTGAATCCTTTTCTTTCTGGTCTTTTCTGAGAAAACTACTGCAATAATCTCATGGTACCTTGAAATACTTATTTCTCGTGGGTCCTTCCAGAGCCCCACCAAGAGCTGCTAATAACAGATTTCAATCAGAACAGTAGTTACAGATGAAACAGAAAAGTTTTGGAATTAGTTTGTAAAGCAGACCTCTGTAAGCTTTTCTAACACATATATACACTCCTTGTATTACCTAATGAAATTGGTATTTAAACTGAGAAAGAAACTGATTTCTTTTAGTTAATGTCTCATATGCCAGGCAAAACACTCAAAATCAGGTATTTCCCACACAGAACACTTGGATAACTCTATCCTCCAAAGAGAATCAATCACTATTCAGCAGTCTGTCACCCAGCAATCCTTGACATTGGACCTCTCTTACAACTTCAATTACAGACAGACTGCTGCCTTGTAATGCAGCAGTTTCCTCTGGACTCACTTCTTATCCATGGCCCCAAATGTTAGCAGACAGAGGAGAGGAAATGGACTTAAAAATTGGCCATGGAATTGGGCATCCTAGACTTCCTTCTTCCTCCTGCCACTGCCCTATTTTTCCCTGTATTTCCATCATTCTCTGGCTTTACTTCTCCATCTGAAAATGGAAGGCTGCCCCACACGATTTGCCTCCCCATAAAATGCTTCCAGATCAATGGCTTAGAGAGACTTCTTCAGAAGTTAATTATTAATATTTTTGTACTTGCACATGATCCAAACTGCAGAAGGGCTGAGTGGCTGCACACCCCATCTGTTTCTGCTCAAAGCTGGAGGTTTCTGTACTCAGGGCTATTTTTATATAACCCAACTCTAACACAACCCAAACTAAAGCCTGGCATCACTGCAAAAGCTGCTTCCTGATCTTTTCAGCTTTACCTTTTCCAATTAAAAAAAAAATCATTTCGCTTCTGCCACTGCACCCTGTGCAGCACAGCAAGAGCTCCTCATACCCCTGATTTCATCAGGCCTTCAGAAATACAGCCATTAATCTTTAGACAATTGATTTTCTTCCTCTTTCTCTAAACTGTGAAAGTCCGTTTAGGTTGCAAGGCTTAAGTTTTCTCTCCAGCCATTTGCCTCATGTGCTTCAAAGCCTCCAGGTGGCTGCTGGTGAGGCCAGCCTGTGTGTATCAATAGAGCTCACAAAATAATGGCTCCTTCCTTCTGTGTAGTGGCCAGATCAAAAGCCACGAGGAGAAAAATTGGCCTGACTTAAACTAAAACAGACTTTTTAAAGAAAAGATTAAGTTAGACACAAAAAGATACTGCACCCAATCAGTTCAAAACACTCTGCCCTCAAGCAAAACACATTGTTTCTTAGAATATTCTGGCATTCCCAAATGGGAAATGTTCTGATATTTTCCAGAATGTTTCCTGCCACTTTGTTCAGCTGAATCAATTCACAAAATTCTACCCAAATAACAAAAAATTCATTATTCCCTTATGCCACTTTCTCAGGATATTTCATACTTCCTGAGAAACAACCTGCCCAGCTCTGTATTCAGGATACTTGAATCTGCTTTGGTCTTTCTTTCCTGAAATGTTTGTGGTAAAAATGATTGCTATAAATGTGCATTCAAAACATATTGTAAATTTGCTTAGCCAAATGCAGCTCAGGTAGCCTAAGAAATACAGATGGAAATCCTGAAGGACAAGGCACAAGAATTGAAAAGCTGAAGAGAGTGACACTGCACTTCCTCAGTGTCCATGCAGAGACACATTTGGAAAAAGCAGCTGATGCTTGGTGTGTCAGACTGTCAAAACAGAACTCAGTCCAAACACAGTTTATAAAGACAGGTGTTAGACTATGCTACAGCAGGCAGAGAAAAAAATACTGGAAAGCAGGTCTGGATGTCACAGAAATTTTCACTGATCTCTGTGTTGAGAAAATGGATCCTGACAACAAAGATTAAAAGATACAGCCATGGATCTAAGAATCACGTTAGGAAACTGAACTTAAGACTAGTGAGGCTTTCTGGAGAGCACATAAGCTCCCCAATAATTTCTACTTCACCACATGGTGTCCAAAAGGCACATCTCCAAAGTCCTCACTTAGGCCCAAAAGATATCTGATATTTTCTCCAGAAACTCTTAAAAGTCCTTTTCCTTTTAAAGTTAATCCAGCTGCAGGTTTGTAAAACCTTTTGAAAATCATTTGTTTCTGTGTTGGTGCCAACACTCATGTAATACCTGAATTCTGCCACAATCTCTAAATTCCAGCACATATTCTTGGGATCACTGATCTTTGGAGTTTCTCCTCTAAGCCTGAGCCCATATGAAAATGACAGAATCTTTCCTGATAGATTCCAGACCAATACTAAAGGAAACTACCAAAGGAAGGAAAGTGTGATTTGCCTTGTTCCTTTGGAAAAAATGAGGAGGGGGAACAATCTGTCTGTGGCAGTGCAGACCAGATGAAATTCCTGAGTTATATTTACATCCATTCATGAGTCACCATCCTTTGCTTGGAATATTATGCTGAAATTCTCTTCACTGTAAGGATAATCTATTTCTATAGGGAGTCTGGACTAAAATATTGTACCATGGGTGAATTCCATGAATACAAAATCATAATTAAATGTAAGAGAGTACTTAATAACCTTTGAGTAGGAAGTGGGACTAAAACTAATATCCCTCCATTCCAGCTAGCTAATGTCACCCACTCACAGCAGCTAAGAAAAGGAAGAGGAATTCTGATTTGAAACAGAAGAAATCAGAAAAATTCTGAGGTTTTCTGTAGAGCCTAATAAAATTGCAAATCATTGTGCTCTGAAGTCCTGGTCTACTTCATATTGGCTTTGGATTTCTACTCTTGTGTAACAGAGAGAGAGAAGATAATGAGGGGCTTGGGCTAGTTATGGTTACAGCACAACTAGAAGGTTAAGGAGAACTGTATTTTATTGGTGATATTCTGATTTTCTTCTGATATTTTACACATTTTTGTGTACATTTCATACTTAACAGTCTACTTAAAATAGAAAGTCTCTTTTAGTCTTTTGTAAGTCTACTTATCCTGGGCCCACAAAAAAGGCAGATTAAGTTGATTTAAAAGACAGCATATCTGCCAAAAAGCCCTACTTGTCTGAGATGCACAGTATGTGGAAAGGATGATACTGCAATCATAAAGAATATTTAATCTTTACCAGGATTTGCTCTGAGCTATTTAAATGCAGGCATGCAAAAGCCAATTATCATTTAACTGCTTTCTCTTCATTTTGGTCCAGCTTCTGAGGTTTCATTTAGAATCTGTGGCCTTTGCACACTTACCACTAGGCCTGGGATTATTGAAGTGACTGTTTTTGGAATGATACAGGAATGTTTTGGTGACCAGAATTTAGAAGTCCAGCACAGCAATATGATATACTTAAAATCTTTCATACCTGTGTGAAACTGATTAGAGTTAAAATGGCAAAAAAGGATGGAACAATCCCTAAGCAATACATAGTGATTCTCAGGGATAGGTTCCTCTTCTCAGTTCTTACAGGGAATTGCTGAACAGAATTCTCCTGTTCTGAGAGAAGGAGAAACAGAGAAAACTCTCCCAGGCTACTTACAAGCTAACAGTGACATACTGAACACTGCCAGCAGCTACTTAAAAGGTGGATATTTTCATAGCTTTTAAACAACATAATGCATCATCTACTGTAACCTCCACTGGATTCCTAAACTAGTTTGAATTGTTTGTGCAAAAACCAAAAGCAGACTTTTTATCTGTCCAATGCTTATTTACAACAGTTTACTGGACTCACCACCCACTCTTTGCTCTCCTCATTACAAATGTCTGAGCTGCATTTGATTTCCACTTTGCTCAGAACTCTGCTGCAGACCGTGGATGTTGCTGTCCATGATCCACCAGGGGAAATGTCCTAA